CCCCAAAACCCCAAAACCCCAAAACCCCAAAACCCCAAGGATCTATAAATATTATTTTTTGAATATGGAACCTAGAGCTCAACAAACAGGTAAAGTACCTCCTTTCTGTAGCAATGCTGTTACTGTCTCAAAGAATAGATTTTATGAAGAATTTTATCTGGACTAAAATGTCTTACAAGCTCTTACAGAATCTACCCTGGTCATAGATTTTCCATCTGAAAATACTGGAGAACTTGCTGGAGAGGAAGCAAAGCAAGTACCTCCTTCAAGACCCAGCGCTATAAGGAACAGGATGGTAGAAGAGAATGGAAAGCAACAGGAAGAGAATAAGCAAGTGAATAGATTATCTCCAAACAGAAATCTTAGTCCTCAAGGATTCTCTACAACTTCTGATGAATTTGATCTTTCAGAAAGATCGCCTTACCAAATAAATGCAAGACGAACAATTATTGAGGAACCTAGTAGTCGTAACTTTGGTTATCATCGTATGTCTCCAGGGAGGGAGAGAAGCCCAAGAAGATCTCCCATGAGGACCATTCCTAGCAGAGGTATGAGAGGGTCTAGGAATATGAGAGTAGTAAGAGATCCCTTCCACAGACATATTGAAGAGAGGAAAATACCACTTACCTCTGAAAATCGAAGAAATTCTTCAAATACTTATGAAGTCTATCATCTCAACGACTTTGTTTCCCGCCATGAATTTATGGACTTTGTTGTATCTAGTAATATCTTCTTCTAACTCTATAGGAAATAGACCCAATTTAGTATCTCAGCAAGAAATAGATGCACAAACAAGAAGAATTGAGAGCATTGAGAAAGATTCTGAGTTAGCCATTTTCAACTGCAACATATGCTTTGGCAGACAATGTTTAGAGTACCAGATCTGCAGATTCTGTTCAGGGCAAGCATGCACCACTTGATGGGATGGAATCATGAACGGAAACAAGAAATGCCCATTCTGTAGAACTTTTTTAATTCAAAATGATCTGATAAAATAACAGATTTGTAGAAGATGTCAGAGAAATGCTAGAAAACCCAGACAGAAAATATGAAAGTTCTGGACACAAATGTCCTATTCATCATAAAAAGGGCTCTCAATATTGAGAAACTTGAGCCTATTTCATCTGTATCGACTGAATCAAAGAAGGAACACATAGTGGGCATGATCTCTGCGAGATAGATGATAAGCCTGAACTCAAAGAGAAAATAGAACAGATAGATAAGTTTCATGGAGAAATAAAAAATATTTCAAAATTATTTAAAAAGATTGACAAAGAATATTCTGATCATTACAACTTGACAGTCGAGGACATGGACTGGATCGCAAAGAGACTCAAAACAAAGATCAATAATACAATTGACACAGTATTTTCAAAGCAAAAGCAGAAATTTGAAGAAGCTCAAAGTAAATTTTCAGAGTTCAAGAAAGACAAAGAAAAATTCGATCAAACAGAGGCTGCCATTTTCGCAATTGGCCATAAAAAATTTGAAATGGATGAGCTCAAAGATAAATTCAAAAATGCTCTGATTTCAGCAGAAGCTGGAGAAATGGTTAATATCGTTTCGAATCAAAGTATTTTTCTCTTTAAACTATAGACTTTTCTGCACAAAAAGACGATGTGATCTCTAAGTATGAGATGGCAGCCATTCCTTCATCAGCATCAACCTACAAACAAAAGTACTTGAAGGCTCTTCTAAGTGAGATTAATAAAATAAAAGAAATATAATCTCAATATTAAATTGCCAAAGAGGGGTTTTGGGGTTTTGGGGTTTTGGGGTTTTGGGG